GCAACAGCCACTTTGCACCTAAAACCATCAATAGTGGCTTCCAAAATCGTTAGTTTTCCACTAAAACTGTTGAAAATTTCATAAATGACATGGTTTTGTAGCCTAATTTCGTTGATGAAAACAAAAAGATTTCTCAAGCTGGCTGTAGATACTGAGGTCTCCAGAGACCATAAAAACTGCAGTTACAAAATATTGAAGCTATATAATTTCGATTAGTTCAGTCGATTGGCACGTGTGTACCAAGCAACCAAGCAAAATCATGTCATTTATGAAAGTTTCAACAGTTTTAGTGGAAAACTAACGATTTTGGAAGCCATTTTAAGCCGCTGCCTGGATATTTCTGCGATGCTTAAAAAATAGTTACCACAAAGTTAGGTAACTGATAGATACCGTTATTTCAACGGTAACTGGAAACGCAGTTACCGTTAAAACAACAGTAACTGTGTTTTCAGTTAGCGCTAAATCAACGCAACGAGAACTTTTACAGTCCTACTTTTAACACGTCGGGAGTTTTGAGTTCGTGCGCAATTTGTAGTAAAATGATGGAGACGTTTTTTATGTCTTAAAAATATGGTTTTCGAAAGCACCTCTAGAAAACGATTTCGTTGACATCATGGAGAATTTACATTTACCGCAAACTGAGAATAGGTGCATTTCTTCAGCAAGCGGAGGATTGCAGGATTCTAGGATTATAGAATCGATTGAAACTGGCAATCGAAAACCGTCAATTATTTTTATCAATAACAGAAAAGCAGTGATGGTGGATGCCGGCGCTACAGCGTCATTTATCCAAGGGGGAAAAAGCGGACTCCTGGACTCCCATGGGCTCCTGAAGTCCAGGAGTCCAAGAGTAACGTGTTAAAAGTAGGACTGTAAAAGTTCTCGTTGCGTTGATTTAGCGCTAACTGAAAACNATTAAATGATTTTCTGGTTTTTTTTTGGGATTCAGTTCCAAAAATAGAAGTGTTTGCTCTTGGACTCCTGGACTTCAGGAGTCCATGGGAGTCCAGGAGTTTTTTCGATGGGTCGTAATGCGGGCCAATGAAAACTGGAGTTTTCCACAGAATCCATAGAAGAACACGTCAGAAAATTCTGGGCAAAAATACATCGATTTTCGTTTTTGATATCCTGTCTCTGGCATAAATTTGAACCCGATCCGACATCGGCTTCCCCGGTATCCAAGAGGAACAGAAAAGAGGGGAGTACTCTTAAATTTAATAAACAGGAAAAATTAAATATTACAGTAATATACATTATTATCTGATACAGAATCGGTGGTCGAAGTTACATCACCGATGTCAATTGCAAATCATTCATCTTTTGAAGCTCTTAATGATAAACAACAACAGTATAACAAAATTTCAGTTAGTGATGGTTTTAGTAATAGTAAACGATCATACAATTCAATTGAATATCAAGAATACGTCAATACATATAGTCACTTCACACAATAAGATCAACTTATCCTTCTTCAGTTCTGGAATCAGCATATAAATAATCCAATACTTCTTGTAATAAAGTAAACGTTAGTGTAAAGATATTGGCGTTCCAGTAGTAGAATTTTCTTTTTATTTTCTCCATAGTTATTTATTTTTGAGATTTACAGAAATATGTTCAGTATGTTTCTATAGAACAGCTCGAAATGCATCTTGTAAAAAGAAAATTCTAGTAATGAAACTCCAATACCTTAACATTAACGGTAAAAAATATAAAGCAGAAAACAGAAGCTGCAAGAGTCAGCTGTCTCTTCTGCACTATCCGTTAAAGTTCAGCATCTTTTGAAGTAGAAACATTTTTCAGTCTAAAACCATAAAACAAGATATTTCCCATCATAAATAAAACGATATTTTTCTTTCTTATATTTCCATATCCAATATTTTATCCAGTCAGTGTTTTTGTTGTAGTCTTCCTTAACGCATTTTAAATGTAACTAAGAATGAAAAATATCGAATAACACTATTAATAATCATCGATTCACAATATTTTTGCATGTCTCTGTCTTTTATTCGTAAATCTAAATGTCTAACGGATGAGCATGCCCTGGATATTGAATAACAATCGATGAGTTCCAATGAAGTATGAGCAAATATTCTGACAGTATAAATATGTCTTATCAGGCATCATCCGGAAATCGCCGTCGCCGCGGATTCTTATACGTTAAAGTGTTAAAGTATAAACGTGCATAATTGAGGGTGAGGACGTGAGGATAAGGGTGGACCACTTCTTCACCCACTTCACTCTCACTTCTCCACCCTCACCCTCACTCGCCGCGAGTTCGTATATGTTAAAGTGTTAAAGTGTTAACGCTAAAGTGTTAACACTTTAACACTGAATCCGCAGCGACGGCGATTTCCGGATGTTATGTCTTATCAATTCTCCAACGATCAGTAGTCCCTCTTTTCTTTACGAATTATATTCATAAGTTGTTCATATCGAATAGATAATGAACAAATATTTGTTGTTATACATGATAATAGTGGAAGAAAAGGTACGTTTTCCATATCGTATCTTGGAAAAAATGATAATTGTTTTAACACTGAGAATGATCGAATAGGATGATTTCTTTGATCCTCTAATTCGGCATATTTTAATTGAATGTAATCAGGATTAATTATTTGTAATTCATAGAATGAGATCAAACAATGAAAATGGTTCAGTTTCTTTATATTACATAATAAGGCTTGCCACAAATATCCATCCATGAAATGCGAATTACTTGTAACAGCCTGAATTTATAAACATTCAAGATATGGTAAAAGATTTTTCATGAACATTTTCAACTCAATAAAGTTGATTTCATTATGTGTTTTCAAGTGAAAATGCATTAGCGCAAAATCGACTTTTTATACGGAGAACAGAATCGGTTCAAATTTTTTTTCTGAAGAGTTTATTATATGAATCGACGGTCAGCAAAGTATCTCTTGATTCAAATCACTTTTCGTATTTTGGCGCGAATAGTAGCGCGTTTTAAGTGATGCTACTATTCGCGCCAAAATGCGAAAAGTGATTCGAATCAAGAGATACTTTGCTGATTTATATAATAAACTCTTCAGAAAAAAAATTTGAACCGATTCTGTTCTCTCCGTATAAAAAGTCGATTTTGCGCTAATGGAGTCAGATGAATGGCCGCTGGTGTTATTTGAGTAAGATAATTAATATCCGATATTGAACAGATAGTTTAATCCCGGGGACGTAGAGAATTATGGGAATAACTCCTAACTTCATTGAAATTTTCCATATGAATATTCAAATACTGTAAATTGGATAAAATAGACAATATCTGACGTAGACTGTCTATATCGAATAATGAAATAGTCAAATTGATGATATTGTAAAATCATTTGTTAAGTATTATTGGTGGAAACTGTGAATATCGTTTAAATAATTTAAAACAGATTGATGATTTAATTGATATTTTGTTACATTTTGATTGGAAAATAAACCGTTCAGTAATAAAATTTTATTTTTTAACTCAATTCGTTTGTTATCTAATTGAAAGTCATGCAGATGAGCCATCAATTTCAACTGTCGAACATATAATCGAGCTTCGTCAACGTTACACTCGATTAATTTCAAACATTCTAAATCGACAATCTGTCTCTACTAATTTTCTCATTGAATAATATTATTTGTCCAACAGTCGGACAGTTACCTAGTGTCAATGAACGAACATGATGGTTGATAGATGGTAAAAGAGTTTTATAAATATAGTTAAACTCTTTGAACGATATGTTAGATAAATCAATATATATTTTATAGCTGGTTATTGTTCGATTTATTCTACTATACTACGGAACCCTTACAGTCAAGGAATCGCGTGAATCGATGTGATTTATGTTATTTATAGATGTTTTTTGCTATTATAGCGTAAGCATACATATCTAGCCAACGGTTTGTCCAAACGTAACCGCGTGACATTTTTGATACACTTAGGTTTAATTATCTCAAAAACTATAAGAGCTAGAAAGTTCATTCTAGCTCCATTCGACGCAGCTCGCTTTAATCTACTTATCATGTAAAAATGAAGTTTTTCTGTTCAAGTCTCGAGCTTTCAGAAAGGCTTCTTTACTGCGTAACGGCGTGACATAAAACGGCTCTAAATTTTGAGTACTGGTGATAAAGCTCTATTTTCGTGCAAAAGTATCTATTCAGCTGGAAAGTTTCAAGAGCCAGTTTTGTAGAACATCGAACGAGCTATTCAACGGTAAAAGAACTTTTCTTTTAACAATTTTTGCTTGGGTATAAAATGCAAAGAACAAATGCAACGTCGAGGCATTTTTCGTAATGGCGTGACATACTTTTTTGTCGCACCATTTTTAGGCCCTAAACGTTGTTAAAAAAACTTCATACTTAGAGTCTGTGTAGTTCTAGGTTTCCTGAAAAGACTCCAATTAAAAATAAAATTCAAAAAATTCTCTGAGGCTTTCAGACCAAGGCGGAAGTTGAAACATTCAAGCAGGTACTGTGTCGACTGAAAAATAAATCTCAAAACAAAACCAGCCATTTCGTAGAGAATTGAATTCTATTCAATGGTATGTTTTTAAACAAAATGTCTAAGTCAGAAAATTGAAATTAAAGTTTTTTAAAATTTTTATACTGAGAATTAATTTTTTTTCTTCAGAACAAAAGCCAGATTCGTAATCAGCATGAAAAGCTGCGTCTAGTGATGTGCCCCTATCGCGTTTCAATGAAAAAATTCAAAAAAAAAACTTGATCAGCGAAGTGTCACGTTACGTGGACGAGCCGCCAAGCCGCCTTGGTTCACAAAAAAGTTTTAATTCAACTTTTGAACGAATCAATTAAACACAAATCCTTTTAGGCACTTTATTAGCATACTACTTTCTATCTAAGGGTAAAAGATCATTGAAATTGCCGGCGGATAGTACATGAAAAGGTTCGCTCGTTACGTTGTCATATTCTTGACTCATGTGCTACAGAAGTCTTCAGGAATGCGATAGCACAGTCTGAATTGCAATACTTCATAGCATTGAATATAAATGTCAATTAACTAATTTTGATTTAAGATTTTCAATTGTATGATTGATATCAATCAATTTTGGATGATTTGGATCTAATGCAGTATAAACATGTCGATAAATTTCATTTGCTTTTAAATAATTTTCTAAGGCTAATTCAAATTGGTTTCTGTTTTTATATGTTGCTGCAATATTCTTGTAAAGTAAACCAACGTTGGGATGATTTTTAGGTAAACTTTTTAAATAAATCTTCAATGCTTTTTCTTGGTATAATAGTTCTGAATCATATTCTTCTAATCCATCGTGTATGGTGGCAATATTAAGGTAAGTTGTTGCTAATTCTGGATGATCATTTGGTAGAATACTTTCACGTAGTTCTAATGATTTTTTATAATTAAACATTGCCTTGTCATAGTCCTTCTTTCCCAAATAGACATTACCTAAATTATTGTACGTTCTAATCACATCAGAATGATTTTTACCAAAATATTTAATAAAAATTGATAAAGCTCTATTATAATGTTCAATTGCTGTATCATACAGGTCACTTTTACAACAGACCGTAGCTAAATTGCCGTAGGCAAATGCAAAACATAAATGATCCGATGGATAAGTTTGTGATAAAATTTCACCTTCTTTTCGATAATAATCAATAGCCAAAAGATTATCGCCTTTTTCTGTAGCTATAATTCCTAGTCCTTCAAAACAATTAGCTAAAAGTAAATCATTTGGCAAAAGTGTATTCATTAAACGTTTATAAAAGATTTCAGCTTTATTAAAAAGACCCATTTGAATTAATAACATTCCTGGTGAAGATCGATTCATTTCTTTATCCATGATATTCTCTTTCATATATTTGTACACATCTTTCAGATCATGTTCATTTTCATCACACAGACGAAGTTTTATTATCCATATTCCTTGTTCTTCAGTTCTTTTCACATTCATTATACGAAATATTGTTCCTAACATGAATATAACTTCTTCTTCACCCATACCAAAATGACTTAAATGTGATATACCAGCAAATGGTTTTAATGATTCTAAATGAGGATCAACTTCGATATCAAATAAAATCGCTTGTTCTGTGCTCGATATACTGCTATTGATACCAGCAAACATTTCTGCGACGATTCTATTCCTACTGGCTGATAGAAATGAGTTAATGGAAATATATTGTCCGACGGCTGCATTTAAATGCTTCAATTCCACTGCTGAGATTATTTGTCCACGATAAACATGAAATATTGAGTCAAATGATTGGCAGGCATGTTCCTGTCTCAATTGCTTATAAATATCTTTAATAAACAATCGAAACATGATCAACATACCAAAGTCTTCTATTCGACATGCTTTATTGAGCATTCGATAAAAGCAACTATCTCTTGTATACCACCAAACAGCTTTATCACAAGAATATTCTAATCGAAATTCATCAATTACCGCACGCTGTATCGGATTATCAGCATATATTTCATTACATAATTCAATTAAGTCATTATGATCAGAAAACTTTTCTAAAAACCTTCATATTCCTTAGATAGAAACAAAATAGCTATAGATCCTGATAGTAAAAAACATGGGTTATATGATGATGTGTTTAGCTCAATAACTGACTTTTATAAAAAAATTGTGTTTCTAATGGGAAGGACCCTTAACATAAAAAGAGATATAACATACTTTTTCATAATATTCAGACCATTTTTCATCCTTACGATTCATTTCACAGTAAATATAGATGGCAGAAATTTGTGGCAATCGGCAAATATTAGAAATGAATTCTATGCCAAAACTATCACATTTAACGATCAACACAATTCTCTCATCTTTTGTATGTTCACGAATGTATTGTTCGCATTCTCTTGGATCCTCATAAATCTTTAGCCAATTAATAACTTGCTTCAACTGTTGTTGTGTTTCTAAATTTTCTAGCCTGTGTACATTAGCATTGAGTCATAACAACGAATATGTTTCAAAATTTTGTTGATTTCGTTTGGTCTTTATATCTAATGGCGTATCACTTGTAGATTGAGACAAAGCTGTTGCCATACGTTATGAAGAATACACACAATGTAACAAGATAATGTGTTAACTGGAAATATATCACTTCTTTGAGAAAAAAATAAACTCTCATCGTTGTTTTTCTTTTCAATTTATGAAGTTTTCACGTTCCAGAAAGCAAAAACGAATTAGTCTGTCGACAATAAGAATATCATGTTTGTAAATATTTGAAAAGTAATGTATGACATAATTTTATTTCATAACATTCTTTGATGTTTAGATGAAGTTTAGAAAAAAAAGACGTTGTGCGTCCATTGAAATAAAATTGTTTGTCATATAATACTTTGTTAAAGGGCTATATTTGCCTTAGCTCATCATTCAAAATACTAATGAAAGTAAGAGATGAACACGCTGTCGACAGCAGTTTTGAAACTCCGAAATAATTGCTCTTCCAGACTAATGATTTCCAGGACAGATGTGCTCATCGACCAATTTTGCCCAAAAAATAGTTTATAAAATTTAGATTTAATTTCTTTCATAGAAAACAAAAGAATATATTATATATAAGGTACATGTAAAGCAAAAACGGAGCAAATATTATTTTTGCCCTTATTATACATCATTGGATAGAGTTTTTCGAGCTGATCATGAATATGTAGTTTTTATTTTTTCGTAACCTTTTTTTCATGTCGAAAAATCGAGAAAACTCGAACGACCTCAAGACTCAAAAAAACGATGATGCTCAAAAACCTTAGATTTTTCGATTTGGGCTTTTAGCCAGAACGCTCAATTTATTCTTTTCTTATTCAGCGTTGAAAACTGAATTAAAAAATGATATTAGATCCATTTCGGAGGCAAACGTCGGCCCACCATGGACGACTGGGAAACAAGAGACGAAGTCGTTTTGTAAGACTATCCAGTTTTTTGGGTGACGGGCTGGAACCTCCGTTTCTGCGTCATTATATGTGTCTCAAATCCACCTTTAAAAGTACGTCACGCTTTTTTTTAAATTTTGTTTCGTTGCTGAGAAAAAAATTTAGTTTTTACTTTAGAATTATTCTTGCATTATTATACAATGGACAATTCGGAATCAGGATCAAAAAATCAGTCGAGTGATGTGTATCTCTATCCTATCCGACTACATTCATTTTTTTCGAATTTTCATGTTGAAAAAAAATCATTGAGATTTTTCACCATAAAATGAAAATCAAGTAAAAATTTGGAAATACACATTATTCGAATATTCGATATTCTTGCTGTCGACAGACTAATTCATTTTTGCTTTCTGGAACGTGAAACCTTCATAAACAGAAAGAAAAAATAACGATGAAAGTTAGAACATTATCTTCAAATCATTGATTGTTGCTTAAACCTGGAAATTGCACTCAGGATATTTTATATATAATGAGCAATAGTATGTTAACTTTAATCCATTTGTTGTTTGTTGTGAGCAAAACTGTGAAACGCATTTCTCTTTGATATGTTCCGTCAATGAATCAATGTTTGAGAAAGTCTCAGCAAAACACCACACTCCTCTTGGCATTTGTAACTATAAAGTTTGTTAAAGAAAACTTCTGAAAATGAGCTACGATCGCATAGAAAAGCCATTAAGCTAAAGTAACGCCGTGACATTTTTTTTTAAAGAGAAATATTCGAACTTTTATCGATACAGAGATTATCAAAAACAAAACTAATAATGTCAAAGTAGTTGGGTGGCCTCTTTTTAACAAGAAACATCAAATTCTGAGGTGTTCTCGTACATCTGACCATATTTAAGTTTCTTTTTCGGATGAATGTCACGTAAAAAATGACAAATTTCAAACTGAGATGAGTTATACGTCATTCGATTGGGAATTTTACGCCGATTACGATTTGTATGAATTAAAAAGCTTTCTAGCGTCTACGCAGAAACATTAAGAAAATTTGGAAAAATCTTTGAAAAATTCTAAAACAAATTGCAGCATTATCTCTGTAAAACCATGACAAAGTTTAATTTTAATTATATCGACGTGTAGCCCGTTGTCCACTCTAGAATTCCACTTCTGTCTATCAACCATCACTTTGTTAGCAGAAATATACGAAATAACTTGAATAAAAATTTTAAAAAAGTTCGTTTGGTAACGGCGTGACATCATGAATTATCAACTATTGTTTCAATTAGCATCAGAAAAAGGAAGAATGGAAACATATACTATTGACTACGCTTTACAAAATGGCATAATTCGTTTTGTCAGAATCTGATTTTAAATCTTGATCAGTGAAGTGTCGCGTTACGAGTCAAAGCCATTTAACACAGTACATACAGAGCTAACTAAACTATTTTGACATTTCTCTAAACTATACATCACAATTTTTAAAACCCTTATTAATTGAAGATTCTCTAACGTTAATTTCAATTAGTATGTTTGGCTTTCAATGTGCTTTCACGCTCAATAAAATGTTTTGCGTGAAAGCGACGAAAAGAGGTTATCAGTAATTAAAAAAATCATAACTCACCCAAAAACCAATAGAATTATTAAAAGTTTTCAGAACACACTATTATGTATATTATTCACTATGATTGAGTGATGAGAAAATCAAGAATAAGTTTTCTGTTTGGACTGTATGACAGGATTCCAAGCAAATTGCGCTTAACCCTTAAAAGCCGAGGGCGCTTCTTTTACAACGGGGGAAGCTGATCACAAAAATAGAGATTATGGACTCTCAGTATGCTCATACTATAGCTAAAAAGAATTAGCTTGTTCTTCTTCTACAGTTACGGAATATCCCTTGGAAGGAATATTCGGTCTTATAGAAAAATCCAAAGAAAGGAATCTTGATCGGACACTTTGTGCATAAATAGGTCTCAATCTTAAAGTGCCCTGAAAATTCAAGCCAAAACGGATGCTTTCTTGCCCAGTTATTGGACGCGAAAGAAAAAACGATCACATTTCACAAAATCGACTTTTCTTCAACGTGCCGTATCTCGAGAAGGAAGCATCCGTTTTGACTGAAAATTCCAGGACATTCTAAAAATCGTGAGACCTATTTATGAGCAAAATTTCAGATCAAAAGTCCTTTCTTTCGATTTTTCTATAAAGCCGAATGTCGGATGTCATATCGTGACAGTAGATCACTTCAAAGTTTACGTGCTAGGTTCATAAGATAGCTAAATGTAATGGTCACGAATATCAGTCACAAAAACAAAACTGCATGCTGTGTCTATGAATAGACTAAATGTTCAAAAAGAAGCTTTAATTCAAAAATTATTTTTTATTTTCGGTAAATTAACTATCTCGTTTAGAAGCCAGTTAAAAACATTTTGTTTTTCAATCAATAGCCTATCAGACTACTTTGGCCTATGTGTTCTCTATTCAATCTAAAAAATATTACGTTCTTTCGAAAAATTAAAAAGCGTTCTCCATTCTATCATCCGTTCTATTTCTATCTAAATAATATTGCGTTCTCCAAAAAACATCAGAAACGTTCTCCATAGTTGAGTTCTCTCTTAAATTTTTTCGCACTTCGCATAGCAGTTAATAACGTAATGCGTTCCACATAAATATCAACGGTGTAGTCTTCTGTCTTAAACTAAAGTCTATTCTAAAAATAAATCATCTTACAAAACCAACAACCGCCAGTAGTACGAACACAAGTACATACCGAACTCGAACGCATCGGACGAGTTTGTAGGATTGTTTGTGGGATTCTTCAATCAGAACGAAACATCGAAATTAATAACCATATAATAGCACAAAAATAACGCAAACTGATCACGTGACATTCAGTCACGAACATGTCACTGCAATACGTACTATAACTAATTTAAATATAATTGTAACATTATTTCATACAAATAGTTGCCACACATTTATGGACAAATTATACACGTTTTCCAATCGCGAGAATTGTGAACTGATTACCGCAAGCACAACTATTCATTAGCATTTTATTGCTTATCACAATTCAGTTCTGCAAATTCCATCATGTGACAGCGTTCCATTGTCCTTCAGTGACTTTCGACTACGTCCTTTTATTTGCCACACTTTAGTTTGAGTCGCTTTATAGTAGTTCTCTAACAACGACTGCATTTGTTCTAGTTTAGTCCTTCTCGACTTTTGTGTAGCGTATTTTCGCCTAGTTCAGACAGAAATACAACTGTCCAGGTCTTGATTACGACGGTGATCATGTGCAGCTTTCAAAAGTCACCCTGGATAACAATTTCATTTCCATAGAAAGTTTCGACGGAATTTTCAACTCAAACGGATACTCTTTGTGTGACTGCCACACAGTGCATAATGTACTAGTACAAAACAATTGTATAGTCGTTTTTGTTCGTCATACGCATAGGATGTGATAACATATATAGGCATATATAGGCCTTTACATTTTGCTCATATATCATTTTGCCTACGAAATAGAACAAGTGTACAGCGAAAGAAAGAATTAAACTTGTGTCAGCGCTTGTACTGTTTCCATTCACGTCACTTTTTACTGTGATTTTAAATATCAAATAATTCAACACAATGCCACGGAACTGCGGTAGGTGGATCTCCTTTTCCAACAGTATCCAATCGAGAGTACAGGAAACTACTATGTTAATTGTCTCTGATCATCTGCGCCAACAGAAGATTTTTCGCCATGATATGTCGTCTAACTGCTCAGGCAAGGTGTGCACAAGTGTAATTCGATGAGAAATCTGGGTACGATTTATGCATGGCAAAAGGAACATGGCGGAGGTCGATTTTTGTGGGAAGTGAACTGAAGAAAGGCCACGCCGTTTCCTAGATCTTTGAGAAACGCAAAACCGACCTTTCATTTGCATCGTTTTTCTTTCTCTTTTTCTTAGAAACCTCAGAGTTTGACGAGTTTGATAACCCGTACCCATTTGACCCGCGCATTTACGTGAACGGTCATTGTTTTGAAGTTGGTTATCGTTATTCACAATTGAAATATTTGGGCGATGGCGCGTTTGGTAAAGTTGTTTCTGCCTATGATTCAATAACCGGTCGATATGTTGCGATCAAAAAAATTCAATTACCATCGGAAAATCGGTTATATTGGACACGAACATTGCGTGAATTATGTATTCTACATGCAGTAGAGCATGATAATGCTGTTCGCCTATTAAATTGTTTCACAAACGCAAAAAGTGCCGAAAACATGGAAGATGTTTATTTTGTATTTAATCTGATGGATATGGATTTACATGAAATAATCAAACAACATCGAAAAGAAGGCAATACATTAACGCCACAACATGTTCAATTCTTAATGTATCAACTTGTCAGAGGTGTCAAATTTATTCATTCAGCAAATATAAGTAAGTCGGATCACTCGCCACTGCTATTCCTTTGGTCTTCCTATCGCAAATGCGAAGCATATCATCGACAGAAAGATAAAGTTCATGTGGAGTCGCCGAAAAGTGCTTTTTCCTATTCAGCACATGCGACAACGCGGAAAATTTTCTATTTTTGATAAGACGTATTGTCAAAAGTTTAGAAAAATTTTGAAAGGAAGATTATTTTCAGATGGCATCTTTTTTTTCGCCATTTTCTTCGGAGAATTTTCTGAAAGTTTTGACAATACGTGTCGCTCAAAATAGAAAATCTTCTGGGTTATCGAGTGGCTGAACATATAAAACAATAAAATCTTACAGAAAATCATAGAAACGGATTCATCTCATAAAATCTTATAAAAGTCATACAAGAACCCTACGAAATCTGATGAAATGTTACTCTAAGATCTTACATCAAGAATCAGTTTCTATGTTTCTTACAGAATCTTACAAAGTCAGACGGAATCGTACAAGAATCTTATAAGATCTTATAGCAAGTTTCTTTGAGCTGGATGCTCTCAACTGACAGCGTCAAAACAGAAAGAGAAAACATGTCTGATTCGGGTTTGGTTTTGGGTTTAGTGCATAGAGATTTGAAACCCTCGAATATATTTGTTACAAAACAATGTGATCTGAGATTAGGCGATTTTGGCCTCGCCAGAATACCAGAAGCAGATGATGGACAAATGACCGAATACGGTAAGTATCACATCTCTAAATATGCCACATGTTCGATATAAATGTTATTGAGTTTAGTTGCAACGCGTTGGTATCGAGCTCCGGAGTTGATGCTTGCTGGTGGTCATTACGACCGAAGTGCAGACATGTGGAGTGTTGGTACGTGTTGAAGCTTCTTTCATTGAGATGACGATCTGAGATTTTGATCATTTATTCAGGATGCATATTTGGCGAATTACTACGTGGACAACCGTACGTCTATTTCACATTATTTGTTGTGTAGATTTTAATTTTCTTCTCTCTTCTGCTTCAAGTCTATTTCCCGGTACTCATTATGCAAATCAATTGGATTTGATATTTCAAGGTATCGGTTATCCAAAAGATCCACAACAAGATCTGAAATGGTTACCAGAAAAAGCGAAAAATTACGTTATTAAACGTTATCAAAAATGTAAAACATCATTGACTGAAACATTTAATTTCACAAAACCAGCAACAACATCAGTCAATAAAGCAACAACTTTAGATGTTTTAGCTATCGATTTATTGGAAAAAATGTTACAATTTACACCGTCGAAACGGATATCAGCAGATGATGCTATTAGACGTACGTACAAGAAGCAAAAGTTACACATTTCATCTTGTCAAATATGAGTGTTCTCTGTTTTTAGATCCATACTTTGGCATATATCGTGATTTTGAAGACGAGCCCACATCCACGCATGAATTCAAATTAGATCTCAATCGTTTTTCGTTGTATGAACTTAAAGAACTATTATTTAAGAAAGTCAGTCATATTGGCGACGAATTAGGTCGCAGATTGATAAATGGAGATCCCGCTTTGAACATGTGAAGAAAGTGTGTAATTTTCTTCCGGACAGCATTTTATCGAATTTTATTAATGAGAAAGATCGATTAGCATCTTTCTCCTACCGTTTATTTTAATTACTTAGAAAATCTCCATTTTTACCCGTCGCGCGGCGAAAAATATTTGAGTTTCTATTAGTTGGGCTCGGTGCTTCTTTATTTTGTTCTTGCACTCAAACTTAAAGCATGGCGTTTTACAATTTTAAATTTTTGTTTGTCAAATTGAATTTATTGTTTTATTGTATAAATTAATTCTCAATATTGTCTCATATGTAGTTTTTTATTTCGTTGTGTGATAGATAATTCATTTTTCTTGACTGTTGTGTGTAATGTTTTATGTGTTGTTTTTGGCGTTTCTGTTTGGTTTTTATTTAAGTATCTTTTTTTAAATTAAATTATTTGAGTGCGTTGACAAACTAAGCTGAGTATTATT